GTTCCATGTGAAGTGAGGCCCGCACCGACACGCACCAACGGGCTACTGCCACGCCGACGCGTAGACATGTGCCGGCCTCCCACGCTTCCCAACATCCTGAAAAAAAAAATTAAAAATCTTTAATTGTACGTTCGATCCTTTTTCACCTTCATCTTTCATTATCAAGAATTTTTATTTTTGTAACTAAGTCCGTGAAGCAACGCTTTACGACCGCCGCGCAGTCACAAAACCCTGTCTATGAACTGAATGACAAAAAATATTGCTCGTTACGCGACCGAAAAGAACTTTTCTGATAATTGTGTTTGCATTCCTCGGATTCGCCTTGAACTGCAAACTCATAATCACCAGAAAAATTCCTAACGGCCTAATGACGAAATATACTACTTTATAGCCGATTGAATATTTGGGAGAGATATTCTCATATTTTTTTCTAAAATCGATAGTTTTTCATATTAAATATGGATTTAAGACTGCCCTATGCATGCGATTAGAATCGTGAGAAAATACTTCACGGCCTAGACACTTAATCTAAGTTCGAGATCAAATAAATTCATCCAGCTAATGATCTTAATGATTTATATTAGGTCAATGAGTACTCAGTGGCACTATCTGACGAACTGTAACCCCAAGGGTAAAAAATTTCAGTGAAACGGCCATATGGTTAATTAGGTTAGGTTGACTGGCCTAATCTTAGAGAATCGGGGGGCAATACGTAAAGTCACGCAATCCTCTTTCGTGCACGGTTACCTTTGCCAGCAGTTTCTCGTGGAGAAGGGCTTGATGGTGGTTGGGGGTATCATCGTCTTGGAGAGTTAATCGTTTCTCACCAACAATTGCTTCGCAAACTACTCTTTCACGGATGAATGTAAAATTAAATGAAGAGAAAGTTTGACGGATAAAAAAATTTCCACTAAAACTTCGCCACTACCACTCCTTATTGGGATTCATTGTATCCTTTCTTTTCATTCAAATTGCAAATTTAATTAAATCCAACGTAGTCATAACATACTGGGAATGCCCACTGGTAATTAAATTGTCCAATTAAAGAGGAGAAAAACTGTAAGACCACGAGATGCGTGAGGTGAATGTGATCAGCTCACGAGTAGAATTTCTCATTCTTGGAATTAGCAGGTTTATTGCGATTGAAGGAGCAAACTGCGATTGAGTCAATTTGTACCACTCGAAAAAGGAGAATTAACAATTGCTCAGTGCCATTTCACCCCAATCTACCCCTGTCATTACCCGCCGAATAATATCTCGAGACACTCGCTATTTATCTTCGCTGCTTAAACTCTCGGCTCAGTGATAAAGCGCTTTTGAATATTAAGTCGAATGACACGAGCAATTTCATGAGTAGAGTGGAGTCTGTAGATTGCAACAATGAATCATAAATATATGCAGTTGTAAACGTCTGACGACTGGGAAATTTACACTTTACATATCTACAGTTCAAACTTAAAAAATCCCACGAGTATAGAAAAAACTTTTTTTTTAATAATAATATTTTATCCGAAAATAGTATAATTTTTATCGGACGTTCCAAATTTTTTAACATAATACCAATGTGATTTTGTCCTGCACTGACAATCGCATTTTAACGAAAGATATTCTCCATCAAATGCTGTAAAAGAACCTTTCAATTTTTCCCATTTATTTTTTCCGACCCCGCAAAATGGATCGCCAAAAATATTCATTCGATACGATTTTGCCCGAATTTATGTAACATTTCTCTGCTATCATTTAATTCAATTTCACCCAAGTTCCAACACCACAAAGACGTCAGACCTAATCCTCATAATTACAATTTACAGCGTCATTAACAATCTCGCTATTATTCACCCCCGCCCCCAACCCTCTCATTCCCCAGTGGCTTTTGTTGAAGGAAACCGCAGGACTTCGTGATTATTTATTCTCCGTTCATTTATCGTGATAATAACCCCGTCTTCGTTCACACCTCAACCACCGCAAGTGTTATCCATAAACACAACCCCCACCCGAGGGTTTATCAGTTGCCAGGAGTCCTTGCCCATGCCCATCCAACCATATTATCCTTATTACACAGCGCATCGGGTTCGATAAGCTCTGTACAACGTCTTCAGAGTCAATTCCCTTCCTCACGGAAATGGAAAATTAATAGGAAATGACGAAGGATCATAAAAGGAAAATACAACTCCATACCATTCGAGTGGATTATGATGCGGAAAAGTATGATGAATTTTCGTGGAGACAATGTTTTGGATAGACACAGAAACCACTGTACTTAAAATACAAGATTTACAACTAGGGATTTCGGATATCGTGCATTACGAGTTTGGAAAGGTAAATTACGTATTCACGTAATTACGTAATTTACGAGATCAGATGCTCCGCAAATTACGTTCTTAATCTCGTATTTTAAGTATACTCCTTTCTATGTGTATACCCCATCTCCATAAAGAATATACAAAGGAATGACAGCTTGATTGTTCCCGCTGATG